GCTACTTTTTTTTTTTTTTTTTTTTTTTTTTTGAGACAGGGTTTCACCATGTTTCCCAGGCTGGTCTTGAATTTCTGGGCTCAAATGATCTGCCCTCCTCCACCTCCCAAAGTGCTGAGATTGCAGGCGTGAGCCACCGTGTTCAGCTGACATCTCCTTTTCATTGAGAGCCAATTGTGCTCCAGGCAGTCCACACCTCTGCTTTCACCGAATTCTCACAATGAACCTGTGTGGTAGGAAGTGTCCTCCTTACTTTCAGTTGAAGAATCTGAAGCTCAGAGAGGTGAGATGCCTTGGCCAAGGCTACACAGCAAGACGGTGACAGAGCTGAGAATCAAACCTACATGTGTCTGGCTCCAGTATCTGCCCTTCCCACGGGTCCATATGGCCTTGCAGTGTGCTTGGCTGTCCAGTGGGGTGACGGAAACAGGATTGGACAAGCCAACAGGGGCTGGAGCATGTGAGGCTCAGAGTTTCACACTCTGGCTGTGGCAGTGGGGAAGCCACTGAAGATTTCCTCAGCTGGGGAGTGGTGTGGCTGGAGCTGGGATCCCTGAGGCTCACTTTGGAGGTTACACAGAGGAGAGTGCAAAGGAGCAATTAGACAGTAGCATGGGAACAGGATAAGAGAGACAAGTACTAGGGGCTTAGCTGGAGGTGGAGGTGACTCAGGGTCCCATGCAAATCAGGGAAGGTGTCTCCAAGGAAGTCCAAGTTGAGTGGCATTTTGTCAGAGCCAGTGCAGCACAGTGGAAGGAGCAGGGCCTCTGGAGTCAGGCAGGTCTGGGTTCAAACCCACCTTAGCCTCTCTCCAATGTGAGACCTTGGAGCCTCCTTTTCATTAGGAAAATGGAACTATCCCTGAGGAGGATGAAATGAGGTGGTGCTGAGTGCAGTGACTGGCCCGTAGGAGTTGTTTAGTAAACATTGCCTTCTTCAGAACGGAACAGTTATGAGGTCATTAGGTGGTCGAGTGGGGAGGTGTCTCTCAGGCAGCACATCTGTCTGTGCCCACGACTGGCAGCCTGATGGGGAAAGCTGAGAGACTGCAGAACTGCAGGCCTCAAGGCGCTTGGCCCACAGGCTGCTGGGCTCACTGGGTGGAACACTCAGGAGTGCTTGGGGTACTCACATCCCTTCTGGGGGCCCCTCCTTGTCCTCTTGGACCCTGCCTGGCTCACTTCCTCTTGGCTTGCTCTGTTCTGGGCTCAGGGCTGGCTGGGGCCCGCACATGGTGTGTGCTGACTGTTTCAGTAAATGACGCCTCTGCTCTTATCTGTCTTCTTCCCCCTCCAGGGAGAACCAGCCTTCCCATGTGTGGGAATAAATTGCTGGCCTCTCTTCTGAGTTGGGTGGGTGGAAATGGAGGGGTGGGCTGGCAGTGTAGGGCTGTGTGGTCTTGGGCTTGTTCCTTCCCCTCTCTGGCCCAGTTCAGGAGGCTGGAAAAGGAATCCAAAAGCTGGACCTCGGACATGTTCTAATTTTCAAATAGGGTGCATTCTGGAAACCACTGACCCCAACCCATTCCCCGCTTGCCCTGCCCCTCCTGTTACATTGTGGGGCTGGCCAGTGGATGGTCCGTGAGAGGTTAGAAGAGGAGCAGGGACCACAGGAAGCAGTGTGAGTCCCCAGCGCAGGTCAGGCTGGTCTCTCACATGTCCTTGTTTGGTGGGCACTGGATACTAGGCTGATAGATGCCCCAGACATGGCGATGGGCAGGAAGCCCACAGAGGAGCTGGATGGGAGGACTGAGGGCTGAGAGCTGCATCTACACCTCCAAAATGTTTGTGAAGAAACGAGGGGTCAGGCCTGAGGACCCAGAAGTCCTGTCTTTGAGCCTGTCTTAGCAGTCCCTTCCATGTAGGCTGGTGTATCAAATCCGAATGCTGGCACTGTGGGTCGGAGCTGATACCTTGAACTGGGAGTCAAGATTACAAATGACCATTCCCCATAACCCCCATTGTGGGGGAATCTGAGAACAATGTATTCATTGGTGCTTATTTCTTGGTATTTCACTGGACTGAGTTTTATGCTGGCATTCCCTGGGCGTCAGGGAGAGGACTCACCTACAGCCTTCCCTCAAAGGGCTCATGGTAGGAAATGGAGGGTATTTCTGACAGTCAGGAGATGGACCCATGTGTGATAAAGGGGCACATAGAAGAAGGGGTGGCCAACTCCACCTGGGTAGTTGACAATATGGACGTCTCCATAGATGAGAGGTAATTCGAGGTGGGTTTTGAAGGTCAAGTAGGAGTTTTCTAGGCAAAGAGGGTGGGAGAACAAGCAGGTAGAGGTTTGGGAGGAGATTATGGGCCTGTTTCAAGAGTTTAATGGTCAGGAGAGATGCTCAGGAAGCAGGAGGATATCCAGGAGGGGAGCACAGGAAGGGCAAGGCCCGGGTATGATGATTTGGGAGCACTGGTTCAGAGAGGGTTAATTAAGCCTGGGGGTATCACGTGCAGTGAAAACAGGACAAAGCATGGACTTCTGATATGGGAAACAGCAGGAAAATAGACCACTCAAGGAGATGGGGACAGAGTAGCCAGAGAGGTAGGAAACCAGGAGAGTGCTTCAAGGCAGGACGAGTCAACAGGACCAAATGCTGCTGAGGGGTCAGGCAAGACCAGGCCTGCAACGTGTCCACAGGATTTAGCAACAAGGAGGGTGCTGATGACTTTATCAAGAACACATTCAGCAGAGAGATGTGGGCAGAAGCCAGACTGCAGTGGATTAACAGGGGAGGTGACATTTGAGCCAGGCAGTGAGTGTCAGGTGCAAAACCAGAGTGCCGGCCGCAGACTGCTCACTGATGGAGGAGGGGAGTGGAGGGTCAGAGGAGGGCCTCTCTGAGCATGGAGCAGGCCTGGGTGCCTTCCTGGGACCCAGGAGAATGCTGGGTCCCAGGAGGTGCCTTCCTGGGACAGTGGAGAATGCTGATGGGATGCTGATGAGGCGGAATTATGGGTGGAGCCCTCCCCAATAAGGTAGGAGGAAGGGGAAGCAGGCCCAGACCTCTGGTCTGGCCTTTGTGAGGAGAAGGGCTGCAAGGAAGTTGGTAGTTGGAGAGGCTGGGCAAAAAGCTGGGGGGCTCCCATGTCTAGGTCATCACTGAGAATGGGCAGAGATGGGCTTGAGGAGAGAGGACGGGGTGCAGTATGGCCACAGCAGGAGAATGAGGAAGGAACAGAGCTGAGAAGGGCCACTGAGAAGCCCCCGGGCTCCTGGCGGATGTGGAGCCCCTGAAGCTGTCATGGTGCCAGTTGGCACAGCCGTAGATTTCTTCAGCGGCCTGGGGGTGAGCATGGAGAGGGTAGCTTGTCACAAGGCACCAGGGCTGGGGATGGCTGAGCGGGCGTGACGGAAGGGCTGGGGGAGGGGATCAAGGAGCTGGCAGGCCTGGCCTTGCCACCTCCTCTGTGGTCCCGAGAGAGGCAGGGCCCAAATAGAATCGCAGATGCGATTCACAGGGAGTAGGCTCAGGGCTGAGGGGTGGCACGTGAGGGGCTGGAAGGAGTGGAGGCTGTGAAGAGAGGGGAGATGATAAAAATAAATGAGAGCCACTGTCTTATGAGCACTTGCCGTGTGCCAGGCATGGTGCTGAGAGCTTCAGGGCCTTCCTGGCAGGGGGTCCTCATGCGAGTCCTGGGGGTGGAGCATAATGAATGTTGTTTTCCAGAGGATAAAGCAAGGTCAGAGAGGTGAAGAGACGTGCCCAAGGTCATGCAGCTGGTCAGTGTCCACACCCCATTTGGGGATCCAGGGTTAACTCACTCCAAAGCTCTCCTGGGAGTCCAGGTTTTCAGGGACCAGGTGGATCAGGCCCTGAGGCTGGTGGCTTACGTGGAGGGAAAGGCCCCGGAGTAGATGAGACCAAAGAGGCTGGGCTGGGTGGCAGTTTGGAGCCCCCAGGCAGCAGGTTTGTTCAGGGTGGTAGCTCCTGGAGCTTGGTGAAAAAGAGCTGCAGAACCTGGGCTGGGCAGCAGGGGGCAGGAAGAGGCAGCCCTGGTGGGTCCCTTCACACTCAGAGCACCCGTCCCGTGCTGCCAGCTTTTAGAAACAGGAAGGAGCCTGGAGATGGGGGAGAGGAGCACCTAATAGTCTGGGGACAGCATGGGGTGAGCCCATCCTCAAAGGGTCTTCCAGTCCCACCTGCTCATGCAGAGGCTGCTGGGCCTTTTCCTTCTGTGCCTATGTCTCCCCCTCCCTGATGCCCTATTGTGGGAGAGGAGCCTGATGAGCTCATGTCTGTGCAGGAGGGTCAGGCTTTGGAGGATGGAAGCCTCCAGGGCTTGTAGCGCTTCCAAGGCCTAGACTAGTCACACAAGTCAGGGCAGCTGAGGGCCTGGTGAGGCCAGGGTCAAGGTAGCCCGGCCTCCTCGAGCACCTGGGCTCTCTTGGCCTCGGGGCCAGTGGAAGAAAGGTCTGTTGGATGTGGGCACCTGCCTTAGGCCCCTTGAGTCTCAGAGGAGTGGCATTCTGACCTGGGCCTCCAGGACAGTCCAGTGCTGCTTGGGGAGCACGAATCTTCAGAGATAGGCTTGGGGCCAGAACTGCAGTGGCTCAGCTTGGATGTTTTTTCAGCCCCTAGGAGTCAGTCCAGTGAAGGAGCAAACACAGCTGTGTGCTCTTGGACATGGCACTTGCCTTGTCTTGCCCTCAGTTTCCTCATCTGTAAACAGATGATGGTCTTTCTTTCCAGCAAGAGGACTAAAGGAGAACGGTATGGGCCAGACTTGGCACAGAAGCGTTCCCAGAGCTCTTTCATCTGGGTGGCCACTCCTCTCCAATCTCCCCCCATCTGGCTGAGACAAGAGGTGGGAAGGATGGCTGTGAGGCTGTGGGCTCCTCCTGTGTAGCCTTCTGAGCCTCAGTTTCCTTGTCTGTGAAATAGTGGTGGTGGGGATGGGGCAGGATGTGATCCTGAGAGAGCATCAGGCAGTTGGTTCCAGGCCCTCAGGCCGAGGGCAAGCAAGGCTGACCTCTCTGTGCCACTGTGGTAGGACTGAGCTGGCCTTTGCTGAGCCCCTGCTGCCACCTCCGTGTTCCAGGTGAGGAGCCGGAAGAGGAACCGAAGGTGAAAACCCAGTGGCCGAGGTCTGCAGATGAGCCTGGGCTATACATGGCACAGACAGGTAACTCGGGCCCGCCTCCCTTCCTCTGTGGCGGGGGCCCGACTGTGTGTGTCTGGTGGTGTATGCGCTTGGTGTGTGCCTGTCTGTCTCTGTCCTGGTGCTCAGTCTCGTTTGTGCCACATGAAGCTTGTGGGAAGGGCTGGGTGGCCTCCTGAAGAGCCTGTTATTTGGGGTCAGGGTAGGAGGGTCCCTCTGATGCCTGCCCACCTTGCTGCTGCTCCCCCTACCCCTATGAGACTGAGTACTTGGGAGGTGCCCCCTGCCGCCGACGCTGTCCCTCTCTCGTAGGCGACCCGGCGGCTGAGGAGTGGTCCCCGTGGAGCGTGTGTTCCCTGACGTGTGGGCAGGGTCTGCAGGTTCGGACCCGCTCCTGCGTGTCCTCCCCCTATGGGACCCTGTGCAGCGGGCCCCTGCGGGAGACCCGGCCCTGCAACAATTCAGCCACCTGCCCAGGTAGGCCCATCCTCCTCCCCACCCCATCTGCCTGCAGGGTTAGGTCCTGCCTGGAACTTGGGCAGATTAATTTCCAAAATGGTGGGTTGCCTCCTCCTTTCATTCAACAAATGTGGCTGTTCCCCATACCATGCCCAACTCTGCATACCACGCCAGCCCAGCCCAGGGCACTGGGGGCACAGATGGATCAGACCAGGGCCCATGCTACTGGGCCCGGTTCTTGGCACATCATTCCCCCAGTGCCTGCGTCCTGGTAACCAAGGCTCATGTTTTTACCCACTCCACTCTGGCCATAGCAGCAGCTCACGCACTTTCCCACCTCCCTACATTTGCTGATTCTTGTCCTATCCTTCCTCCCCTATCTTGGCTATTCAAATTCGGCCTGTCCTTCAAGATCTAAGACAAATGCCACTTCCCTGACCTTCCCCTCCCTCCTTTGGGCTCCCCCTCTCCAGGGAGCCTCCCCTAAGCCTCCATCAGTTGAGTGTGTAGTTGTTAAGGAAATGCATGTGCTTGCTTGAGACAGTAAGGGCAGGGCAGCCTCAGCCAGTCCTGCTCCTTGCTCTCTGAGGGGGTGAAGTGGTGCCTACCATGCTAATGGTGCTGTGGATTTAGAGCAGGGCCTACCTGGGAAGGGCTCTTGGTACCTGTGGGTGTGGCAGGAGCTTGCAAAGGCCTGGGGCAAAGCTGTGTTCCAGTGTGTGAGCTCGATGTGTCGGTGTCCATGTAGAGGTTCATGTTTATTTGTGTGTCTGTGCGCTTGGGGCTGGGAAGGGCACTTGTCTGGCCCTGAGGACTGCTGTGTTGTATTCAGGCTCTGGGTCTTGGGGTGGAGTGGGGAGGGGTGGAATGGTGTAGATCCTGGGTCATTTCCTAAATTTTCCTGTGGCCCCGGGAGAGGAGGACCCCTGGTTCCCCTCCTAGGTTGGTCCTAGCCTCCTTGTCCAGGCGTCCACAGGGGATGTCCTATGTGAATTGAGACCAGAAGCCTGTGTCTTGCACATCCCTTCAAAGGGCGGTGCCTTGGTGGGGCCCTGGGAGATCTTCTGGGCAACAAACCCGGGACAGAGCCAATGAGGAGCGGCCGCAGAGCTGCAGAGCTCCTGATTGGTGGGCGGGTGGGCAATGGCCGGTGGCGGGCGGGGCCATGGTGCTGCCCAGCCACCGGCCACGTGCTTCCTTGCAGTGCACGGCGTGTGGGAGGAGTGGGGGTCCTGGAGCCTGTGCTCCCGCAGCTGCGGGCGGGGGTCCCGGAGCCGGATGCGGACCTGCGTGCCCCCCCAGCACGGCGGCAAGGCCTGCGAGGGTCCTGAACTGCAGACTAAGCTCTGCAGTATGGCTGCCTGCCCGGGTCAGTAGCGCCCGTGGGCTTCTATGAGGGCGCTGCCCAGCCTGGTGGGAGGAGGGGTCGGGAGACCTGGGGAGGCAGTCAGGTCCAGTGACCTGCTCCTGGGGGCCCCATAAACTTTGACCAAGCATGAGGAGGGTGGAGAAGTATGCCTGCCTGTGTGTGAGGTGACCCCGTAACCCTGACTTGAGTTGACACCCTGTGACCCCGTCAAAAGGGAGCTGCTCTTTCTCCAAGCCCTGAGCTGCCCTTGCTGGTACTAGCATTTTGGTGCATGGCCAGCTGGACTGTGAGAGGACACAAAGCTGGGCTGAAGTGCTGGCAAAGAGCAGAAGACACCCCTGCAGCCCCTTCCCTTAGCCAGAAGTGAGCTGTGCTTGGTGCTAAGAGGAGAGGTGTCCTGTATTTCTGGAGCTGGTAGCAGGCAGGCAGCATGAGGCAGCACTCCACCTGCTCACTCTAGCCTCCCTCATAACCCCCTCCCCTCCCCACTCCAGTGGGTCTGGCCTGGCTCAAATCTGAATGCCTAGCAGGCTCTAGGTCTCCCTCTGGTGCTCCACACCACCAGCCCTCACACATCCTGCTCAACAGCCACCCCTGCTTGTGTCTCCCCATGCAGTGGAAGGCCAGTGGCTAGAATGGGGTCCCTGGGGCCCATGCTCCACGTCCTGTGCCAATGGGACCCAGCAGCGCAGCCGGAAGTGCAGTGTGGCGGGCCCAGCTTGGGCTACATGCACGGGTGCCCTGACTGACACCCGAGAGTGCAGCAACCTTGAGTGCCCAGGTGAGTGCTTGGCACAGCAGTGGCAGGTGGCAGCTCTGGCCCTGGGGGCACCTGGGGCCACTCATGCCTCCCCTCTCCCACAGCCACTGATGGCAAGTGGGGGCCATGGAATGCATGGAGCCTGTGCTCTAAGACGTGTGACACAGGCTGGCAGCGCCGCTTCCGCATGTGCCAGGCCACGGGCACACAGGGCTACCCCTGTGAGGGCACCGGAGAGGAGGTGAAGCCTTGTAGTGAGAAGAGGTGTCCAGGTACTTCCCTAATGACCCTGGGGGGCTGGGGGACCCCCTGTACGGGCCCAACTGAGCCTTACCCCTGCACCCACAGCCTTCCATGAGATGTGCAGGGATGAGTACGTGATGCTGATGACATGGAAGAAGGCGGCTGCTGGCGAGATCATCTACAACAAGTGTCCCCCGAATGCCTCAGGTAAGGGGCAGGTGGCCTTCCCCACCACCCCCACCCCTGCCATTCTCACTGCCCCCTTCTGCACCCCCAGCCTCTCTGAGGTGTGGAGGAGTGTGGGTGAGAGCTCGGCCTGCATGTCCAGCCCTGTCCTATCGCCCTGCAGGGTCTGCCAGCCGCCGCTGTCTCCTCAGTGCCCAAGGCGTGGCGTACTGGGGGCTGCCCAGCTTTGCTCGCTGCATCTCCCACGAGTATCGATACCTGTATCTGTCCGTGAGTAGCCCCGCTGGGCTGGGGCACCACAGGATCTGTCTCAGACTCTGCTAGGGGGTGGAGGGAGCGTGATTCTCACTCATTCCCACGTGCCTTGGCATATGCTGTGCCCACTTCTGCTTGGCTGTGCCTCTCCTTGTCTGGCAAACTCCTACTCATACCTCAAGGCCTGACTCCCAAGTGTCTTCTTTTATCCCTGTTACCTACCTCTGTGCTCCTGCAGAATGAGCTCCTCAGTCATAAGGTGCTCATCCAAGTGTCTGTGTGTGCTGCTAGACTGGGGCCTCCTGGAAGGCAGGGGAAAAGTTGAATTTATTTTTGTGTCCCCAGCGCCCAGCCTAGGGCCAGTCATGGGGTAAGAGTAGTGTCAGCAAATGTGTGTACATGTTTGACCGTAACTGGGTATTAATTGTGTGAATGCATTTAGAACTTGTGTTGAGAGAGAGTGAGAGAAAGAGAGAGAGACTATGTGCATGTGCGTGTGTGTGCATGTGTGTGTGTGCACCCACACACATGCTCATTACACTCCAGAATGTACATGACCCCTTTGGGCTGGGGAGGTACCCTGTTCCCATACTGTGCTTCTATCTTTTATATGTACATCTGAGCACCTTTATTCTCTAGGTGTTTCTATTTCTGTCTTTTTTAAAGTACCCTTTGGGATTCTCTCTCTTTATGAGTCTCTTTCTTGGACTCTGTCTCCCCTGTGCACCCCTTTGAGCCTCTCTGACCCTTTCCCCCTTTTTCTCCCCGTGGATGCAAGCAGTGGGTGGACTGGAGTGGGATGGGCCAGGGTCTGGTTCCAGCTCCTGACACTTCAGTGACTGTGGCCCCTCGTCACCTACAGCTTAGGGAGCACCTGGCCAAGGGGCAGCGCATGCTGGCGGGTGAGGGCATGTCGCAGGTGGTACGAAGCCTGCAGGAGCTACTGGCCCGCCGCACCTACTATAGCGGGGACCTGCTCTTCTCTGTGGACATTCTGAGGAATGTCACTGACACCTTTAAGAGGGCCACCTACGTGCCCTCGGCTGATGATGTGCAGGTACCACCTGGGAGGAAGGAGGGTGGAGGGTAGAGAAGGCCCAAACTGAGGGGGGAGGCCAGGCTCCTAGGCAGAGTCTGCAGCAGGGGCGGCAAGTGTGGCTATAGTGAGGGAGCCACCTGTTCCCTGGGGTTAGGACCCCCTGCCACTCATTCATTGCTCTCTCCCCAGCGCTTCTTCCAGGTGGTGAGCTTCATGGTGGACGCGGAAAATAAGGAGAAGTGGGACGATGCTCAGCAGGTGCGGGGCACAGCTACCAGCTTCTCCTACCAGGACCTACCCTGCCTTGCACCTTTACACACTCTCTGTCCCCAGGTGTCCCCTGGCTCTGTGCACCTGCTCCGTGTCGTGGAGGACTTCATTCACCTGGTGGGCGATGCTCTCAAGGCCTTCCAGAGCTCTCTGATTGTCACAGACAACCTGGGTACAAGGAGGCAGTCAGGGGAGGGGGTCCTGAATGTGGCAGAACTCAGGAGGATCTGTCTTCCCTCTACCTAACCCCATATTTGTATCTTTCTCTCCACATTCCATCCTCTCCTTCATCTGTGTTGTCTGTTTCTGTGTACATCTCTGTCTCTTGTGTTTGGACCAACTTCGGTGTCTACATCTACCTTTCCTGGTACGTGTCTCCCCTACATCTGTCTCTTCCCCTGGTCTACCCTGCCACTCTTTGTCTCTGCCCATCTGTCTATCTCTGCCCACCCTCCTCCCACTGCAGTGATCAGCATTCAGCGAGAGCCTGTCTCAGCTGTGTCCAGCGACATCACATTCCCCATGCGGGGCCGCCGGGGCATGAAGGACTGGGTGCGGCACTCAGAGGACCGCCTCTTCCTGCCCAAGGAGGTGCTCAGCCTCTCCTCCCCAGGGAAGCCAGCCACATCTGGGGCAGCAGGCAGCCCCGGCAGGGGGAGGGGCCCAGGAACGGTGCCCCCTGGCCCGGGCCACTCCCACCAGCGCCTCCTCCCAGCGGACCCTGATGAGTCCTCCTACTTTGTGATCGGTGCTGTGCTCTACCGCACCCTTGGCCTCATCCTGCCACCCCCCAGGTGAGTCCTGGGGATGGGTGGATGGGGCTGCTGAGGGTCCAGGAAGGCCCAGGTAAGAACAGGGAGGACTGAGCCAGTGCTGGCTGCAGAGAGATCCATGGCAGCCTCCTGCACCTTCAGGGACCCCTTGCCTGGCTCTGGACACATGTGCTTCTCAGATACATCCATGCCGCTTCCGGAGGCTGGTCTGTCATCCAGAGGGTGATGGACAGAGCTCTAGACCTCACCTGAAGTCCTGGACCCCACTGAGCTAGGACTCCTGGACTTTGGCTCCCTGGAAGCCTCTGGGCCCCCCCATTTAAAGTGGCTTCAGGGTTTCTGACTGGGGTTGGCACCCGCTGGCAGGAACTGACTTCAGTATCTATTCTCCAGGCCCCCACTGGCTGTCACATCCCGGGTGATGACAGTGACTGTGCGGCCCCCTACCCAGCCTCCAGCTGAGCCACTCATCACAGTGGAGCTCTCCTACATCATCAATGTGAGTGGAAGTCCACACAGGAACCCTGGGCGCACCCCAACCTGGGCAGCCAGAGGCCTGTGTCTGCCCCTGACGGTGGACTGAACCTTAGACCTGTGTGGGAGCTGCTGTGGCCCCCACGGCATGGGCAGTGGTCGGGGCTGGTGAGTTTTCCTCCCTAACTGTACTCATGTCTTCTGCTCCCCAGGGCACCACGGATCCCCATTGTGCCAGCTGGGACTACTCCAGAGCGTGAGTTGGGTGGCTCCTCTGGGTGAGGAAGGGAGCAGCTCTAGGGCCCCTTATCAGAAAGGAGTCCCCTGCCTGAAAGGCAAGAGGGATTTTTGGTGCCATCCTAGCCTAAGGGGTCAAGAACCTATCCTGGGAGTCCTTGCTGTTGCCTTGTGCATATGGACCTATGTGGATTTAGCTTGTCCTTGGGCAGTGGCCAGGACAGGGGGCAGGGCCACATAGCTGGCCTGGAGCTCATTCCATCTCTCCCGTCCCTACCCAAGAGATGCCAGCTCAGGAGACTGGGACACTGAGAATTGCCAGACCCTGGAGACCCAGGCAGCTCACACCCGCTGTCAGTGCCAGCACCTGTCCACTTTTGCTGTGCTAGCCCAGCCGCCCAAGGACTTGGTGAGTGGAACGGAGGTGCCTGGGCTGGACAAGAGAGGAGGCCCTGGGCTTCCAGCAGCCATCAGTGATGGTGTTGGCAGGCGCCCGGGTGATCCTGAATGTGCATCCGCAGGTGCGCTTGTGGGAGTGCACTTGGATGTCTGTGCCCCTGGGATTGTGCTCACAGCAATGATACTTGCCTGGGAGTGTGCAGCAGCGGCTGGTTGTGTGTGTATGTGCATGTCTGGTTGTGTGTTGAAGAGTGTGGTGACTGAGTGTAAATATGAGTCCACCTGGATACCCAGGTCTGTTCTGTGCAGCACGAGTACAACAGCAAGAAGGTGTTGCCCTTCTCTCTGTGGGTATGCCAGTCTGTGCTAGATGAGGGGACAGGGGCCCCTGTAGCCACCCTCTCCCAGCAACCCATCTGACCGCCTGCCTGTCTCCCCTAGACCCTGGAGCTGGCGGGCTCCCCCTCGGTCCCGCTTGTGATTGGCTGTGCAGTGTCCTGCATGGCGCTGCTCACGCTGCTCGCCATCTATGCTGCCTTTTGGAGGTAGGCCTGACACCTGCCTCTGGTGGGGGTGGGGTGGGGCGGGAGGTGGCCAGCCACACCAGGTCGGGTGGGGCAGCCAGCGCCTCTGTACCTGCTTGCTGTACCCTGGCAGGTTCATAAAATCTGAACGCTCCATCATCTTGCTGAACTTCTGCCTGTCCATCTTGGCATCCAACATCCTGATCCTCGTGGGCCAGTCCCGTGTGCTGAGCAAGGCAGGTGCAGGCTTCCAGGGCTGCCAGGGGTGTGAGTGGGTGAAGGGGTGGAGAGCATGCCGTGTGTGTGTTTGCTTGTATAGCCCTCGAGGTTGCGTGTGAGCTCCCCATGTTGGGATGAGTGTGTGTGAAATAGTGTGTGAGACCATATGTGAGGACTTGGAGAGGAGGTGTGTACTGGAATGAAGAACTTCTGTGAACATCAGCAAATGTATATGTGAGCTGAGCACCGGGTGTGTGTTGGGCAGGTGGCATTGGGCCTCCTCATGTCTGTGAGCATGTGGGAGCCTGTTCGAGGCCTCTTTTGCCACCTGCCTGTGGATGACTGGTGCAGACTGTTCCCCATGCCCCCTTGGCCTTCTCTGCACAGCGCCAACACTGTGCATGCCAGGCATGGGCCCTGCCCGGCTGTGACGTGGCAGGTGCTCACGTCTGTCTCCCTCCCTGCCAGCCCCGTCTATGTGTGGGCGGCCTGCCCACCCGCCTCCCTGGATGCCGAGTGCTGTGTGTGTCACCAGGCCCATGTCGTGCTGTGTGTGGGTGCAGGAAGGCGGGGGTGCCTGGCAGGGCTCTGTGGGGGGCGGGGCTCAGGTGGGCAGCCATGGCAGCGCCCAGCAGCGGGCGTGGGAAGCCTGGCACCTCCTGCCCTGGCGGCTGCTCAGGGCCACTCCCTCCCATTCCCTCTCCCTGCAGGGCGTGTGCACCATGACGGCTGCCTTCCTGCACTTCTTCTTTCTCTCCTCCTTTTGCTGGGTGCTTACCGAGGCCTGGCAGTCCTACCTGGCTGTCATTGGGCGGATGCGCACCCGCCTCGTTCGCAAGCGCTTCCTCTGCCTAGGCTGGGGTGAGCAGGGCCAGTGCTGGACTCTGCTGCTGGGCCTTGGTGGGCAGGGGCAGCAAGAGAGGTTCAGCTTTGGCCCTGGCCCAGCTCTCTGGGCACAGGGGTCAGCTGGGCTGGGAGTCTGGGAGAACGAGGGGGCCCTGAAGACCCACAGCTATCTCACTCTGGTGCCCCCACTCCCCCAGGTCTGCCTGCCCTGGTGGTGGCCGTGTCTGTTGGCTTTACCCGAACCAAAGGATACGGTACATCCAGCTAGTACGTGGGCCTCCCGTGGTGGGCAGTAAGGGTTAGTGGATCTGTTAGGGAACTGGACTGGGCAGCTGGCTGAAATCCTGGCCCATGCCTGTTGTGGGTCTTTCAGCAAATTCCTCCCATTTCTGAGCCTCAGTTTCCCTGACTGAGGGAATGTGCTGGGACTGGGTCATCCCTAAGGGACTGTTTAGCTCAGGAGTCAGCCTTGTTTCATGCTCGTGAGAGCACTGTGGGATGAGCCTGATGTTCTGGACCTCTATTGGAGGGGAAACCAAGGCTCATACGGAGCCAGTGGCTCACTCTCACCATCTGGGGCTCAGACTGCACTGGTGATGTTGTGGGCTTGGGAGCCTGGGAGGACTGAGGGATGGTATTTGAGGGTGGGGAGGGAGCCTGCTGGGTGTCTGACACCCTTCTTCTCCCCCACCCAGCTGCTGGCTCTCCCTGGAGGGCGGCCTGCTCTATGCCTTTGTGGGCCCTGCAGCCGTCATTGTCCTGGTACGTGCCCCGTTCAGCATCCTGGAAGGGGCGTGGCCCCAGAGGGTCATCCTGTTTCTCCCTCTACCTCCTCCTTGCACTCCAGCTCCCACGTGGGGATTTCCCTGCCAGGAGGGCACCTGGTGATCCTGTCTCCCCTACTCCACTCCACTGGGCCCCCAGGTGAACATGCTCATCGGAATCATCGTTTTCAACAAGCTCATGGCACGTGATGGCATCTCCGACAAATCCAAGAAGCAGAGGGCCGGGTAAGGGGAGGGCCTCTGAGACTTGGCCTTTCTGGAAATAGTGCAGGGAGGGAGGGACGTGGGTGCTCTCGGAGACTCAGGGCTCGATGATGCAACCGGGGCTCCCCAACCTTGGTGCATCAAGGTTGCAGGCAAGGTGGGCACCCAGAGTGCTCAGCTGCAGCCCCTCACCCACCCTAACCCAGCTCTCTCTCTCTCATCTGCCCTCCCCTCCCACCCTACTCGGGGCTCACTCTGCCCCGTCTCCCGGCTTCCCGTGTGTTTCCCCCCTTCTCCCATGTCTGTGCCGCCCCCGAGGTCGGAGCGGTGCCCCTGGGCCAGCCTGCTCCTCCCCTGCTCAGCGTGTGGAGCGGTCCCCAGCCCCCTGCTCAGCTCAGCCTCGGCCAGGAACGCCATGTTAGTCGTGTCCCCTGCGGGGCGGTGGGGATGGGTGGGGCAAAGGAATTGGGGGGGCAGTGCCCATGGTGGGGGGAGGAGGAGGGATACCACCCCAGTGCCCTGGAAAGCTTGCCCTTTCCTGCCAGCCGCCACACACTCTCAAGGGCTCAGCAAGAGGTGGCCAAGGCAATGAGGAGTGGATGTCTGTGCCTCCCACAGGTGCCCGATTCCTTCGCCCACCCTTGGATCCCACCCCTGCCCCCACTCCCAGCTAATGTTCTATCCTGCACAGCCCCACACCTCCAACCTTCAGAGGCTCAGACAATCTTAAGCCCTTAGAATTTTTGAGCTATAGAACCTTAGAATTAGAATGATAGAATCTTAGAATAAGACAATCAGAAGCTAAGAATGTTAGAATGAGTGAATCATCCAGTCTTATCATCTGTCATAGAATCTGAGACTTAGCATTTCAGAGGCATTGAATCTCACACTCAATTGGAGACAGAGAATCATGGAGGTAGAGAATGATTTCACTGAGACCCCTGCCCAAGCATCTGAGAATCTTAAAATCCCAGCTATGTGGGGGCAAAAGGAATCCACAAGACCTTAGGCTCAACCTCCCACCCAGGGCCGGAAATCCATTCCAGCCTCCCTGACCAGTGAGGTCCAGCTTTATCTTGCACACCTCCAGGGTCAGGGAGCTCAGGGCCTCTGGAGGCAGCTGGCACGGTCACTGTGAAGCTCCCTCTGTCTTGGGCATGCCGTCTGCCTCCCTCACCCCGTCTGCACTAGCCGTTTCAATGCTTGAGCTTTGGAGTCGGTCAAGCTGTGTTTGTATCCCAACTGTGCCTCTCCCTGCCCAGCTGGGCACACTCCAGTTTCCTCATCTGTAAATTGGGATAATAATCCCTGTGCCTGTTAATTGGAGTTGTTTTGATCACTATTTGAAGTAATATATGTAAAGTGTTCAGTGTAGGGCCTAGTGGAGAATTGGTGGTTAATCAGCATAGCTCTTATTACTGTGATTAGACCCTCTCTTGGTCTTGGTTCCACCTCCAGGGGCTTCAGAGCCCACTGTGCCTGCCCCCTGCCAGGCTGAACAGGCCTGAACTGCTCTTCCTAGGGCAGGGCTTGGCCCCCTGCCCATCTTTCTGCCTTGGCCTCCCCCGGCTGTCTCTGTGGAATGGTGCCACCCTCTGCCTTGCCCAGAGCTGTGCCTGACTCTCCCACCGGGGGTGTTTGTGGAAGGAGAGTGGGCTGAGTGTGGCACCTGGCCCAGGAGGGTATGGTGGCCCTGCTGTCCCTCATGTGCTATGGCAGGTGGGGGAGGGGTGGGAATGGTTTGGATGCCAGGCCCCATATGTTTTTGTTCTGCACTCCCCTGGCAGGGAGGCCGGGGAGGTGTAGGTCTGGTCCAGGCCCAGCTCTGATCCTTCTGACCAGGGCTCTGAGCAGTCCCTGGCAACCTGGCACCTTCTCTGTATATGAGGGGAGTTCTGCTTCACTGGTCCCGGCCCCCTATCTTCTCCCTGAGGATTCGTGCTCAGGCGTCCCCTGAGTGTTCTGCCTGTTGACTCTTTCTGACTAGGTGTCGCATGCACTCTCACTGTGGCTATTGTCTCTGTCCCTCTTCCTCTCCCTCTCCCCAGCCTCCCCAGTTAGGCTCTGGGGATGCCACCCAGGCCTGTGTATTTTTAAAACCGCTTCAGGTGATTCTGTGCAAGTTGGGGCTCAAATAGCAACTGCCTCTGTCTACCTTCTCTTCTCTCTCCCTTTGCACTGTCTGTGGCTTGGTCCCACTGCGTCTGCGTGTCCATCCCCACCTTCCTGGTCCCTGCTCTGACCCTGTGGTTCTCTGCTTTCTGTCTCTGTCCTGTTTCTCTGGCTCCAGCTCCTCAGCCCCTCTCTGCTTGGGGACGTTACTGAGGCCCTGGGGTTTGGGGCCTCCCCAGTCTTGGGCAGCTGAAGGGCTCCAGCTGAGTGGAGGCCTAGGTTCAAGCCATCCTGTCCCCTGGAGTGTCACTCTGATGGGCTCTGCCACTGTCCCCTCAGGGCCTCACTCTGGAGCTCCTGCGTGGTGCTGCCCCTGCTGGCGCTCACCTGGATGTCTGCCGTCCTGGCTATGACAGACCGCCGTTCCGTCCTCTTCCAGGCCCTCTTTGCTGTCTTCAACTCTGCGCAGGGCTTTGTCATCACTGCTGTGCACTGCTTCCTGCGCCGAGAGGTGGGGCTGGGCCTCTCCCACCCCTGCGTACCCACCACACTGTGCCGGGCCTCTGGCTTCTCCCCACTGTGCAGACCGGGAGGATTGAGGCCCTGACCAGGGTGCTCCAGGCCCCAGCTGGGCAGCCCTTGGTGTGGAAGCCAATGGCCTGGGGTACCCACCACTGTCCCCTAGCCTTATCCTTGGCCTTCTGGGTCTCCTTCTCCCCTTGCACCCCGCCCAGGCGTCATCACCTTCCCCAAGGCTGGATGTGCTGCCTTCTTTCCACACTTGCTTGGGCATCTGGGTGGGGAAGCACAGCCAGCTGTGGCCGGGGGCCCTGCAGTGGCCTCAGGCCCAGCAGGCGCCTTCTGTCCCCAGGTCCAGGATGTGGTGAAGTGCCAGATGGGCGTGTGCCGGGCTGATGAGAGCGAAGACTCCCCTGACTCGTGTAAGAATGGGCAGCTGCAGATCCTGGTGAGTTAGGGGGCCTGGCCAGGGCCTGGGTGGATTCTGGGCACCCCCACCTGAGTCCTCCTGCCCTAGACCATTTACCTTCCCCATCCATGGCAGGGTTGGGACAGAGATTGGGTTTGATTCACGCTTAGCCACTAACACCTGGATGGCATTGGGCAAGTCCTTCCCCAATTCAGTTTTCCCAGCCATCAGGTGGGGCTGGGGTAGACCTTGCCTGGACTCTGCTGGGCTGTTGGCAGCCCTCAGGCAGGCAGACTGGGCAAAGCTGGCTGGGGAGGGCGAGCCCCCTCCCACCCTGATACATTAATCCTCCCTCTGCCCACCTGCCCCTCCCTCTCCGCCTATAGTCAGACTTTGAAAAGGATGTGGATCTGGCTTGTCAAACAGGTGAGTGTGCAGTGGCAGAGCTGAGAGTGGCCCTGGGGTTGGAGAAGAAGGGGAGGCCCCAGGCCCCATCATGGGAGGCCCTGATGGAGTTCTGGCTGCTGGAGTCAAGCTTCGAAGTTAGACAGCCCTGAGCTGGATGCAAGGCTGCAAATGTCCCTTACTGTATGGGCCTGGGCAAACAACCTGCCTCCCCAAGCCTCCGTTAACATACCTGTAAATGAGAGAATACTGTCCTCCCAGGGCAGGTGGGAAGCTTAGGGGCATGCATGAATTAGGGGACATCACATCCTTAGCAGGACCCCTGGCACAGAATGTTATGTTATTAGATCATTTCCAGATTCTTACCAGAATCTCTTCCCAGTTCTGTCTCTTGGGGAGTTGCTGCCCAGGGAGGTGGGAAGACAAAGCCCTTTGACAGTTCCGGGCTATGGGGTCAAGGTCAGGACCTGCACCAGGACTTTGGGAGCTAGGCCTTGCCTTTGTTTCTTGCCCTGTCTCACTGTGGGGACTTCGGAGCAGTTATCTTCTTAACCCCTCTTGTATGTGAGAGATTACCAACCACCCAGCCATCTCTCCAGGACCCAGTTTCCTTTCCTGTCCTAGTGCAGAGGCTTGGTACCTCCCTGGCCTGGGCAAGGGCACGTGCAGGTTCCTCCTCCTCAGGACTCACCCCCTCCCTCCCACTCCTGCTCCCAGTTCTGTTCAAGGAGGTCAACACTTGCAACCCGTCCACCATCACGGGCACACTATCCCGCCTGTCCCTGGACGAGGATGAGGAGCCCAAGTCCTGCCTCGTGGGCCCTGAGGGCAGCCTCAGCTTCTCACCATTGCCTGGGAATATCCTGGTGCCCATGGCAGCCTCACCAGGGCTGGGGGAGCCGCCGCCCCCTCAGGAGGCCAACCCTGTGTACATGTGTGGGGAGGGCGGCCTACGGCAGCTGGACCTCACATGGCTGCGGCCCACCGAACCGGGCTCTGAGGGGGACTACATGGTGCTGCCCCGGCGGACTTTGAGCCTGCAGCCTGGCAGTGGGGGTGGAGGTGGTGAGGATGCCCCCAGGGCCCGGCCCGAGGGGACCCCCCGGCGGGCTGCCAAGACAGTGGCCCACACTGAAGGCTACCCCAGCTTCCTGTCTGTGGACCACTCGGGCCTGGGGCTGGGCCCTGCCTATGGGTCTCTCCAGAACCCCTATGGAATGACCTTCCAACCGCCACCAACGACACCTAGCGCCCGCCAAGTGCCCGAGCCAGGGGAGCGCAGCCGGACCATGCCCCGCACCGTGCCTGGCTCTACCATGAAGATGGGCTCCCTGGAGGTGAGGGGCTGGAGGGAATTGGGGGAGGGGGAGGTCTGCCTGCTGTGTTTCTGAGACTGTGTGTCAATCACAGGCTGCAGCCAGGAGGGGACAGCCTCAACCTCCCCAGAGTGGCCTCTGTATGAGACTGGGTGCGTGTACACTGCGCATTTCTCCCTCTGTTTCTGTGCATGGTAGCTCCACAGTGTCTGTGGATCGCTCACAGGCTGGGGCTTCATGCACTGGAAGTGCACTTCTCCACTCGTTCACACCTGTTTTAGGGACAACTTTGGGGTGACTGGGTTAGGATGAGTCCTCATTTCAGGAGATTGTGGCTCAGGCAACGTACTGTTTTGTTGGGGAAGCCATATACTAGGGGGTGAGCCTGGGCCTCCGCATCATACAGGTCTGAGTTCCTGTCTGGACTCTGTGATTGACAGCGAGATGAGTGGGCTTCAGTTTTCTCATGTGTGAAGTGGGGATAACATAGCAGTCTCTTGGTAGAGTTGTTTTGAGGACTGAGTGATGTAAAGCATTTATTTTCATGTGGAACAGGTAGAAAGTGCTAGATAATTGGGGATTGCTGCTGTTAGCACCCCTGAAATCAGCTGCAGGCACTGCCCGCAGGCCTGTGGTAACTGCCCCTCTTTTCCTGAGAAAAGTAGACCCCTCCATGACCCTGCCTGTGTGTGTTCTGTGAATGCTCCTCCTTCCCTCTGGCCTCTTCGGGTCTGCTCCCTGCAGAGGATCACTAGGAACAGATGGTAGTGGCCTGCTGTGGAACTCTAGAACATTCTACAGCTCTCTTGGAGGAATGAAGGGGGTGTGGTTAAGGAAAGGGGCAGAAGTCATGGCTTAGCCACAACGGGCTGTTCCTACTTGGTCTCAGAAACCCACTCCTGATCCTCCACACGACCAAAATTAAGTTAGTACCTAGGGGCTCAAAAGTTTAGTTTTTCTCCCAAAATGCTTCTGGAACATTTGGTGCCCGCTCCTGCCACAGATGGCAAAAACGGGAAGGCATAACAAAGACAAAACACGACACCAGCATCGAGAAGGGCACGCTTGGCGTCACGGCGGGTTTTGTTTCGTGGACACCTGCCTGCCGGCCCCTGAGGAGGGCGGACATCAGGCTCTTTGTTTGGGAGGCAGCAGCAAATGCAGCAGCGCTTTGAGGGGTCAAGGATGACATCCATTCTGGCATGGGCAACTGTGATGGGTGGAGGAGCAGGTTTGGGCGGGGAATTACAAGTGTCTTCCATTGGCGTGAGGTGCTTGTACAGTGCCTGTGCAGCATCAGCCAGGGAGAGGTACCCTGTTGCCCCCAGAAGGAGAGATGCGGTTGGGATGGGGAGGATACGTGTGTGTGGTACAGGCAGGAGAAGGTGCCAGGGCAGAGTGTAAGCGCCTAGTGTTAGAGAAGCCAGGGTGAGTGGTGAGGAGAAAGCAGGCAGGTAGAGAGGAGGAAAACCAAGAAAAAGGGTGCCATGGGCCCGTGGTGGCAAGCATGTCCACAGGCCTGGGAGATCCAAATGATGGTCCTAAGTATCAAAGGGCTGGAAGCAATTCCCTTCACCTCCCTGTGTCTCAGTTTCCCCATTTGTAGCCTGGGAAAGTTGGCCTTGGTTTCATGGGTCCCCTGTGCCGACATTTTAAGACTCTCTGGTCTTTCTTGAGCAGCACTGGCTGCGGAACAGCTTACTGGGGCCTTGGAAGTGATCTGGGGCGAGGAGGGCCGAGAGAGGCATGAGGGAGCAGAGAGGTCAGGGAGGCAGAGCCGGGTTTGGCAGGAAAAGGGGCAATATGAGGTCAATGGAAGGGTTCTGAAGGCTTGTGTTTGCAGGGCAAGTGGAAGGCTCCAAGGGAAGGGGTAGCTATGGCTGGCAGAGAGAATGGGACAAGATGGGGACAGTGCAGGGGTGGGCTCTAGGGCACAGAGAATGAGCCTAGGCTCTGATTCCATATGGGCATCTGGCCCTGCCATGTTGGAAGTCTGCACTGTGTGTGTGTGTCTGTGTGTGTTCAGTGAGGCCTGCAAAACTGCCCCATGAAGACCCCCAATTTCTGGGCCTGGGTTGGGGGGAAGGTACAGCGGGCAGACCCCTGGGGTGCCAGGCTTCCTGTTTCTAAAGCCTCCACATGTGGTAAAGAGCTTTTTTCTCCTCCATTGCCTCCTTGTTGCTCCTAGCGAAAGAAACTACGGTATTCAGACCTGGACTTTGAGGTAAGGGCCGTGTGTGTGCTCGGCGGTAGGGCATCTGTCTGTGGTGTCTGTCCCCGGAGGGCCCACTCCTAAAATTAGTCCAAGCTCTGTTGCAGAGCCTGACCCCAGGATCCCAAGCCCGTGGGTTCTGTGGGATCTTCCCATGATTCCCTCCCTGCCCAGGCCCATAGCTCCGACATGAAGATAGAATCAGGTCTTGTCCCAGAGGGGCTGGCAGCAGGGAGGGATGTGGGGGGCCCAGGGTGCTGAGCACCCTGGGCAGGGGGGATCATGGTGCTGCCCCAGGGAGCAACCCTCTGATGCCCTGTGGCCCCTAGAAGGTGATGCACACCCGGAAACGGCATTCGGAACTCTACCACGAGCTCAACCAGAAGTTCCACACTTTTGACCGCTACCGCAGCCAGTCCACGGCCAAGGTGAGGGCTCCTCCCGTGGCTGCCCCTGCCCCAAAGCTCAGGGCCTGACCTGGTGCAGTGGCCCCTGGGGTTGAAGCCTGACCCATGGCCCCCATTGCAGAGGGAGAAGCGGTGGAGTGTGTCCTCGGGTGGGGCGGCCGAGCGGAGCGTGTGCACCGTGAGTCCCCCTGGGCTGGGTGGGGTGAGGTGGGCCTGAGAGACCTGTGCCCTCCCTGCCCTCCTGTCCCTCCTAGGCAACCTCAGCCTGCCTCACCAAGGGCCTCCCATGGCATGGGCAACAGTCTGGGGCCACCCAGGGGGTGGGGAAGGTGCCACAGATGGTGAGCAGGGGTGGAGGTCCTCTAGGATTGGGAGGGAGAGTGGTCAGCAGCAGACATGTCCTGGGGGCCACTGGGAATGGGTCAGGAGCCCTACCCTGGAACCAGGCAGGTCTGTATTTGAGCTCTGCTTTGACACCTGATTGCTCTATAACTTTGGGCATTACTGGCCCTCTCTGGGCCTCCTCAGTTTGTGCTTCTGTACCATGGGTGAGGATACTGGCCCATCTCCACAGGCCCCTCCCGCTCCCTCCACAGGATAAGCCCAGCCCCGGGGAGCGCCCCAGCTTGTCCCAACATCGGCGCCATCAGAGCTGGAGCACCTTCAAATCTATGACACTGGGCTCGCTGCCCCCCAAGCCCCGAGAACGACTGACTTTGCACCGGGCGGCAGCCTGGGAGCCCACAGAACCACCGGATGGTGACTTCCAGACAGAGGTGTGAGTGCCACGCTGGACTGCCCACTGCATATAAATATATATATCTCTCTATTTTCACACTCCACTTTGGAACTACCCAGGAGCCAGCGCCCTCTCCCCTCTCCCGAGGGCTGGGCAGGGAGGCGCCGTGGACTCAGCCAGGCTGGGGGAGCCGTACACGGCTTGGCCTGGGGGCCCAGGGCCCCTCATTGTTTCTCAGAGGCCCCTCAGCCACTGGAACCCCATCTTCAGCCCAGCCTGTCCGTTCCTGTCCCGGGCTGGGGAGGGGGGAGGGGGAACTTTGTTGGGAATAAACTTCACTCTGTGGATTTTGCTGCTGAGCTGTTTTCTTCCCCCAGGTAAAGGCCCAGCTCTGGGACCCCTACTTTGTTCCTGTCTCCTGGGTTCCACTCACTTGGTCTCATCACATGCGACGGGGTCAGGCCAGCCCTGCCTGGGAGGGGGCGGCCTGGGGTCTGAGCCCATCTCTGTCCCTGACTCTGGGTGACCCATCCTTTCCCCATCTGGGCTGGGGTAGCAGATTAGAAATGTGGGAGGGGCCTGTTATGGCTGGACTTGCCTAGTGGCTGTGATGGTCGTGGCTGCCATTCACTGGGGCACAGGGGCCAGACTGCCTGGACTACAGCCAAGATAGAGTTTAGTGATCTCGGTTCCACATCTGTGAAATGGGGATGGCAACAGTGCCCATCTCACAGGTTGTTACGGGAATGAAACATTCCTCTGTGTAAAGTGTTCAGCAGATACCTGGGACAGGATAAGCTCTTGAAGGATTAGCTGTTACCATGTGGCAGCCGGTCTCATGTAGTGCTCTAAGCTAGGAGCTTCACACACGTGTCCCCTGGCCCCTCTCAACAACCCTGTTGGAAGTTTTTAGGTTGCCCATTTTGTGGATAGGAAAATGAGGCCAGAGGTGGGAAGTGCCCTGCTCAAGGCCACAGTCGGAGGCAGAGCTGGGACTTCAAACCCCTGCTTGCTGGAGATCGGGCTTCAGCTCAGCTTCTTGGGACTTGACCACCGCTGCAGGGGAGCCGAAGGTGCTGGGTTGTAGTGGAGATGCAGGTGTTGGGCTGGGCTGGGGCTGGGTTGCAGGAGCCAGGCTAGCTTGGTGCCAGGGGCTGGACGCTCATGCTCAGTTGCATTTGTTACATGCCTGAGTGAGGAGATCCTTATTCAGTTCTCAGGTACCCAGAAAGAGGGGGCACAGGATGACATGTGGAAACATCTTCTGGAGTCAGGCAGCAGCTGGAACGGGGACAGTTAGCAAGGTCACAGATCATTTAGCAATCACCTGGTCATTTAGCAATGTGGGCACTTCGGCCCCTTCCCAGGGGCTTGGAGACACAGACACAGGTCCCTGAACAGCTGAGGGAGGGTTAGGTGCTGCAGCAGCCTGGGTGGGGGTGACAGAAGAAGTGACTGACTGCTGGAGTAAGGGGTATCACAGCTAATGGCTTGCCTGGAGGAACTGGAAGAGGGGTGGAGGCCCCTTCAGAGTTTCACAGGCCTTGATGACATGGGCTTGCTCTCAGTCTCATTCCAATTCCGCCTGCTGTGAGATCTGGTCAGAGGAGCTGTGCAGGCAGAGTCCACTCAGGGCTATGCTCCTAGACCCTCAGAGCTCCTGCAACTCACTCTTCCATCCCCTCCCTTTGGGCGGCCCCAGTACCTAAGTGTACACAGAGCTCCCTCAAGCACTATTTCATTTGATTCAAGGCAGGCATTGTGACTGCCCCATTGTACAGATGAGCAAATCAAGGCTCAGAGAGGGGACATGACTTTCCCAAGCTCCCACAGCTTGGGACTGGGACTTGTGGCTGGGAGTGGCAGAATCTGATGTCAGCCAGCTTAGGCACCTGGGAGCTTTGTTCACCCAAGAGAGTGTGCTGCGCCAAGGACAGTGGTGGGAAAGTGTGGCTGACCTTGGTGATGGGACCCGGGATCAGTAATGCCACCCCACATGTTTCATCCTTTCCTGGTGTGCTCTTGAATGTGTATTGGCTTCATTCTTTAAGGCCTCTTCCCCCTGGGCCTGCCAGGCTTCCTCCTCTCAGCTCCCATCACTCAGCATTGCCCCTAGAGGGAAAGAAACTCTCTCTTGAATTCCAATTAGAAAACCCCCAAGGAAGGAAAGGCTCTGGTTGGCCCACGCAGGAGGCTGGGGCACTGTGATTGGCAGTCACATCAAGAGCCATGGGGGAGGGAGAAAGGGAGCAGGTCTTCAAAAAAGAGGGGCCTGTTCCTAGAAGGGGGGTTACATAAACAGTCCCCATCCCTGACTGTGTACCACCAGACCCTGCTCCACATGCTGGACCATGCCTTCCTCTGACCACCACCCTAAAGGCCCTCTTAGTGCCTTTTCCTGTACTTGCAGCTCTGTGCTCTGCTGCAAGGTGTGACCACCTCTGGGGTCCTCTGGGACTGAGATTCGATGTGCACATCCCTGTCTTCCTGTCCATTCTTGCTTTGCATCTGGTTGAAGAGGAAGTTTAGTATGTACCTTGTTGATTTGGCTCAAACACAAATCACAGCTGCCAGCAGAGGCCCCTGCTGGCTTTGGAACCAGCCACTTAGCTTTCGTGGGGTAGGAGCTTTGTCCCTAGCCCAGGCACTGACCTGCTGTGTGACCTTGGACAGGCCACTGGACCCTGTCTGACTTGAGTTTCCCTATCTGTGAAATGAGTTGACCCCTAGCTCTTTCATTTGAGCTAATATCTAACAACCTGTCATTTCTTTCCTGGACTCAAATTTCTCACATCATTGCCCTCATTTTCTCTGCCTCCAATCTTCAGCCCTTCATCCACATGGCCCAAATGATCTTTCCAAAATGCAGATCTGGCCAGGCCACTGCTCAGATGCTTTCTGTAGATTCTGGAATTAGCCTAGAGTTCAAGGGCCTTGGTGATGTGGCCCTTGCATCCCTCCTCTGCCCATCTCTCTGACATCCGTGCCTGTGCATGCACCATTCCTTCTGCCTGAAGCTCTCTCCTCACAGAGGGAAAACTCTCCTTCAGCCTTCCACACCCGGCCCAAGAGCCCCCTGTGTGATGCTGTCCCTAACTCCCTGGCCCAGCAGTCAGCACTCACGGGGGCCCCCACAGCCCTTGCCATGCACTGTCACTACTGCACTGATCACACAGAACTGCTGTCATCTGTGTTGGCCTTGCTCTGGTTTGTGCACTCAGAGGCCCACATGAAGCAGGCATCCGTGGATCTTTAGTGGGTGAAGGGCGGAATACACAAATCTCCCTGAGCATTGATTTCCTCATCTGCAAAACTGGGATAATGACAATCCCTACCTGGTCTCCCTCACTGGATATCCGGAGCATGACTTGGGATGATTCATTGGAAGCATTTTGTAGGTGTTAATCTACTCCTCCCACTGTTATTCCTTCCGCAACCAAATGGGAAGCCAGCCCTGGGTGCTGTCCAGGGTGCTGAAAGTGACTTGTCTTCTCCCAAAGAATGAGGAGACAAGACTGAGGCCCACACAAGCTCAGATGCAGCCTTTCCTTGCTCCAGACAGGCAGGGTCAAGGGAGAGCAGACTGTCCTTACCTTCATGAGAACAGACCTTGGGAGATGTCCAATAAAAATACAGTGTAAACTACATATGTGATTTAAAATTTTCTAGTAACCATTCTTCAAAAGTTTAAAAAGGCAAAATTAACTTTAATATTATATTTCATTCAATATATGAAAAAACAATCATTACAACATATAATCAATATAAAAATGACTGAGATAGTTAACATTCTTTTTTTATACTAAGTCTGAGAAATCTCGTGTATAAAACACATGGGCCACGTGTTTTATACATACAGTGCATCTCAATTCAGTCTCACCACCTTCTGACTGCTCAGTACTCCCATGAGGCTACCATATTGGACAGCACAGCTATAGGCAGAACAAAGGCAGTGACCTTGAGCATGTGAACTCGGTGCCCTCTGTGAAAAGTAGGTACCTCCTCACAGCCTGCCTCATGGGGCCATGGAGAGGGCTTGAGGAGATGATGGAGGGAAAGTTGCCAGCACAAAGGAGGTCCAAAGCCAGGGTTCCTGGACTCCACATATCCTGGGGATACCAGTGGGGAGGGAAGGGGTATGGGGAAGTAGGGGAAGGTCCTGAGGAGACCTGTGGACTGGTATCAGGCCTCCCTCAGCAGGGCTGGGGGAAGAGTACACCCTCGCCCTCATCTTTACCCTTACCTCTGCAGCCCCAGACTCTGGGAGAAGGGAAGCAAGTTGAGGCTAGACTTGAACAGATACATTAAGACTCAATTGGGCTTAAATCACTTCCATTAGGCACCAATTAAAAGGAAATTAGGTGGCCTGAGGGAGGACCTGGGTGTGGGATGCTGCTGACTTCTGCTTCTCTGGACTCATTTCCCTTCGGGCTTCCTCATGCCCACCCTGGCAGCTTCTGGGCTTTCCTAGATCCAGTCCCCAGTACCCACCGCATTCATCCCTCCACTCCTCCAAGGCCACCCTTCTCCAGGAAGACTTCCACCCTCTCAGGTCCTCAAAACACATGATAAATGTCTCAGGCAGAGGAGACTCCATTGAGGGTTTTGGCCTTTAAGGAGAGTGAGAAGCTGAGGAAGAGTGTTGAGCAGGGGACTGGCATGATCAGATTTCTATCTCAACACGATTTCTCTTGAGTGGATGGAAAATGGATTGGTGGGGGCAGGGACTCTGAAGAGTGAGGGTGGATGCCGAGAGACCAGTAAGGAGGTGATGTGTGTGAAGGAGACTAACTAGAGGGCGCTGTGGAGGAGGAATGGAGTTTCTATGTGTGTAGAGGGTAGAATTGTCAGCACTTGGCGCCTGGTGTGAACTGGGTATCAGAGAGGAGCCAAGGATGACACCAGGGCTTCTGTCTTAACACACTTGGATGGACCACCATGTCATTGGCTTACAGGTACAGGAAGAGGACCAGCTTTGAGGGAGACAGTCATGAATTTGGTCTTGGGCATTGTCTTAGTCTGTTTTGTGCTGCTATAATAATGCCTGAGACTGGGTAATTTATAAAGAACAGAGATTTATTTCTTGCAGTTCTGGAGGCTGGGAAGTCCAAGGTTGTGGGGCCCTCATCTGGCGAGGTCTTTCTTGCTGCATCATCTTAATGGCAGAAGGCAGAAGGATGAGAGAGAGAGCAAGAGAGAAAGAGAGCAAGAGATTGAATTCAAAGACCCAAGCTCTTTTTTTTTTTTTTTTTTTTTAGACAGATTTTCACTCTTGTTGCCCAGGCTGGAGTGCAATAATGCAATCTTGGCTCACTGCAACCTCCGCCTCCCAGTTTCAAGCAATTCT